GTGGTCAAGTGTACGAATATATTATATAATACTAATTGAGAAAATAAAACTAACAAAATAGTTGTTTAGTTGGAAAAATTCAGGCAAATTTAAAACTATTTGCATTAATACATAATAGTCCATCACTCTGTACTTAACATATCTATATTTCTAATAAGCTATTAACTCTTTTTTATTTTCTTTTTTTTTGCATTTTACTTTTTTTCTGTTTTCGCAATGATTTCTAATATCGTCTGTTATCAAGTCAACACTAAAGAACATATTTATTAGCAAAAACTCTGCAATGTTAATTGATCGGGGATTACCACAAACGTTCTTTCGTCGTTATACTCATTGTCTTCAGTATCTTTGCTTACACCTAAATACACTAAACAAAATTTACGCAATAATCAATGTAACGATGTACGTCAGTGTACAGTGATCACACGATCGTTTAATCGTGTGCACGATACAAAAATTAACACAGTTTCGCGCTTTGTTCAGAGTTTACAAATATTTTAAGGAATAATTTCTGTTTGTAAACAATAATGTTTCCGAGAACATTCGAAAGAAAATTTCACACTGATCACGATATCGTTACGTTTACATGCATACAGTATATATTATTATCGATATTGATAGTAATACTTATAAACGATATGATGGTATATAGTAATAGAAAATAAAGCACGGCGATACCCAATTTGTTGCAATTAACATTGAGATTTGTCGGTAATAAATTTCTTCTACAACTTGACGGCTCGTGTTTTACACATATGTAGATACGTTGAACGCCGTGACCGTCAAATTGTAACACGTGGGAAACTTTGTCAGCAGTTTATACGCTCCCAAGAGAATTGTTAACATTGTATTGCTAAGAGAATGAATCGATGTTCCGACGGCATTTTGATCGAAAGTCTGTGTGTTAACGTACGTGTTCTACGTATTCCCAACTATTGGTGTATCAGTTCACTTTTATACGTTGTCTCCCCTCTCGTACCTCTTCGTTTCGCCCTCGTCGTGCATGTTTCTCAACGGTTCGTCCAGAAAGTTCGTACTGTTTCCTGCAGAAAGTTTCTATTGTTTCTCTTCACCCTAAAATATAAAATCTCGTTTGTTCCGGTAAACATTCGGTCGTTCAGAGAGATGTCTCCATGCGTCTCCCACGCATGTTTCGCTACAATTTTTACGAAATACAACAGAGAGAGAATGTCGATATAACTGAAACGATGAAGTTTCGATAAAAAACGTATTATAGAGTACACATACATAGGATAAAATACCATAGCAAATGTGACTTTCCGCGGAACGATACTTACGCTGTAAATTTGAAGGAGAGGTTGAATCGCTATTGGTCAATTATTCGATGGTATAGAGCATGTAAAGATTGCCAGCATCGCTACCTGGTGGTACTAAGGCGTGAGTAGGCGGTAGAACCGTGAAGCCCAAAAACATGAATGTTCGAACCAGCATTGCTATATTATGGTAACAAGCCGTTTTAGAGGAGAAAATCTTCTACTCGGCACAATCTTTGCCATTAATGCCAAACAATGATAGACTAGTACTACCTCGATCCGCTCGATCTTTGCGTAGGCAAACGATGATATTGGTACACCGTAGTGTTTCCTCGGCATATTCCAAAAGAGAAACGAAGCCCTCTTTCGAACCTTCTGGTAAGAGACAACTTGGTACGCGAATATAGAGACAACGGCGCCACACTACTGTTTCCCACTCGACGGATGTGCTCTCGGTCAAGTGTAAAGTAAAAGTCAGGCGTAAAGATTCGCTATTTCTCACGGCTTTCAATAATTCATCCTCCTAGAGACAATGTTCGAAACAATGTTAGAAAGAATATTAGTACACAACTATGTACATGTACGTGCCAACCAGTGTGCGGGGTAAAGGAACTAATCGCAAGATCGAAGAGAACTGTGCGCTGCTCTCGAATGAACGGTGCGATACCAATAAAAAGCATTTAACTTCGTCAAGGTCATTCGCATATATTGCGCGTGATCTCGACAGTACGCTTCTCGTGCTGAATTCGTGTGTAATTAGAAATGAAATTAATCTTGTCCATTACCAACAAATTTCTACTCGAAGGGATTAATTAATTTCGTAAATTTGCGACGAACGCACCATCGTATTATGCGCGTGTAACACTTACTTGTACAATATGGGAGCTCACAGAGAGCTGACTTTGCTTGATCCCCACGCCGCGGCTCTCTGTGTTGACTGTAGATACAGACAATGCGGCATGGGGCACATCAGGACCACCACAGAGGCCCTACGCCCAGCGTTATACAATAATGTTGTTGCAGTGTGCAACCTTCTTCTAAACTTTCATCCATACACTTATTTGACATTTCACTGTAATAATCAATATACCAGTGAACACATACAAATTTCTACACAAGATCACACATTAATATAAACATCGTCGTGTTTTAAACGACAAAATATGTATATTCGAAGCAAACAGCGAATATAAAATATAGACGTAAATGAATACCTGCCACATTGCACAGTAAACAATCATATTCTACCAACACTGTGTGTACTCTGAAATTCGGAAAACATCGAATGAACCGCATTCGTGAAACGATCTCGCTTTTCATATTTATCAGTTTCGGAATACAGCCAACTGCTGGATAGCATTGAAAACGTACTATTCTCGTCGAGAACACGTTTATTGTCTTTCAATGTATCATCGACGATTAATGAAAAAATGTTACGCAATGATCTTCGTCTATTAACCCTTCACGATCCAACATCGTTACACGTTACAAGTACAATTGTCACGCGATATGAATCATTTTTTATACCAATAAAGATTATTCCTATCTTTCTAAGATCAAATGGACAATGATCTGGAACAAATGAACGACCTAGCAAGGGTGAAGAAAGGTAAAATTCCTCGATAAATACAAGATATTTCATCGGTGGAAGAGTGCGTATTATTTATGCAAGTTAGATTGCAAGAAAAATTAGAAAAGATTAATACGAATGGTGTCATCTGAATTTATCCAGATTATTATTAACAGAGAGGCAGAGAGAGAGAGAGAGAGAGAGAGAGAGAATATTTAAAAGTATTTCTGTTACAGAAATCGACATCGAAATGATAATAAGCGGTATTAGTCACCTGAAAATGTGAAATTTTATTTGAAAATCTTTAATACAAATGCTCGGTCATAAAAACATTTTATCGGTAATCCTTAAAATTGAATGTATCTTTGTATTTACCAGAACATTTCTAATCGACTGATTAATATCGAAGATAAGGTTATATATAGATAAAAGCATGTATCGATCACATTGTACTTGCGTTCTCTTTCCTCGCGTGAAATGTACATTTGCTTCGTATGCAATTACTATGAAAATTACGTGAAATATCTTCATACGGTAAACACGTACGTCTGTATAACCCGTTCTTATTGTTTGCAGTAATGTCTCATACGCGAATACTTTTCCACAATTACGTTGCGAAACGTTGAGTCGTGTAAAAAGATATTTATATCTGTTTTTGCATAAACCTCCACTGGATATATTATGAAATGCAAGTAAAATTTCAGCGTATCCGTTGCTTTTTTATATTTTCGGCGTAAACAATACGTGTGGTGGAACAGCTGATGGATACCACATATGGTGTTACAGGTGTGTGAGTGGCGCGCGTATGATGTGTATATATGCGCACACAGCACACACACATATATACACATGTATATACAGATTATACACACGTATATGTACATATACATATGTACATGCATATAAAAGTGCGCATATTTATACACACATATAGACACAGTAAACGTTAGTTATTTACTACAGGATTGATGTATGTACATTATTCACGTGGCAATGTAACGGTAGCCCCCCCCCTTTAAATCTGAAATCTACTGATGGAACATTACAACTCCTACGCCTTCTTCACCTTGAGCACTATCTTCATTCCATTCGATACATTGTTCAAACTCGTACATGTACCATTCGCTTCAGTCAATTACATTTATAAAAAAGAAAGAAACTTGAAATCTATAACGTTTATGTTTGTACCAATTAGCTCAAAACTAAAGAATACAATTGAATCGCAATAACGTGTCACTCCTTGACACTTTGCTCGTGTGTATTATTTGAAAATTAACAAGCTACGTTTGAAATACGAACTGACCATTTTAGGATTACATATGGACACTTGTAATATTAATCATACTAATTTGTATTACGGAAAAAAGAACAAAGGTACTGAACATGTTCTAACAAATATTGTGCAAGATGGCGGTAACAAAGTCAAGATAAAAATGGCGCAGTAGTCGCACAGCACTTACCAATTGCTGGATATTAGACTTGGCATTATTAAGCCCTTTTTACTACTTTCACAATTACTTAATGGTAGACTGGAGTTAATATTCATACTTCTTTCTTCGTAAAATTTTGACGGCCGTAAAATTTACTTTTTCTCAAGATCAAATGTTCGCTGGACGAACGATTGTTGCGCGATAAGAATTATCGAAGAATATCACCACACGCAAGCAACCGTCTTACTCGAACGTAGGAAATGGTTCTGAATTTCGCCGCATGTCGAATATCAGTCTCGAATTTATCTCGATCCATTCATTCCGACCCAATTCGATTCGATTCGATTCGATTCGACTCAAATCGATTGTATCTTTGTCACTTGAAACTTTATCGAAAATCGGAATAATTATCCACGTCACTGTCTCAACAACCTAAAACTTGCTAATCAAAATTAGATATTTAATAATATATATACATATATAACTCTATAGTAATGAGCTCTATAGTAACATTCCCCTCGCGAAAAGTTACCCTTCTCCAAACATACTCCGCGTTGTTGACGAGACTAACCCTGCAAGGAATACGAGTCTGATTGATCAGCTTTCATCTTTGCTCATCTTATTTTCGATAATAATTTGCTGTTGGACAATACGCGCGCGGTTACATGTAACCAATCGAAACTACAATATAAAGGAAATCCCTAGCAAGAGTCCCCTCTTGTCCCTGTGCCGTCCCGCCGGGAGGTCAAGTGATTTCCCAATAGTACCTACATGATATCCGTGCAACAGAAAAGAATTGACGAACCGATTTGTATATTAAAAGGACAAGTTGATAAAAATCCTAACCAAAGTAGGATATGCAAGACTGATGTCACGATAAGTCTTAATAGCAGGCACGATGACAAAGTTTTTCGAAAGACGTTAAATTCGTTAACTTTTTTACAGATCTAGTAAAATATCAATTACCATTGAATCGATTTCATCCTTTTTTAATCGGAGAACACATCTTACAAACCGATTTGTTTCAATTACAGAAATTGACATGTCTCACGAAAAACAATTAATGTGAATTTTTAATAATTTTATTTCAATTAGTACACTATATTTTGTAATCCAAAGTTATTGTTAGGGCAGAAAATAGTATACTTGCATTCTAACAAAGAGAAATTAATACTTTTAGATAAAATAAATTCTAGATAGATAACCAAATACACCAAACGATTACACATTAAAAAATGAACACTGAATCGTTAAGATAGTGTTTGGAATGTTTACATTGCAAATTCATAAACTTAACTTGTAATCTGGTTTTTACAATATCATTTCAATTTTGTTCTTTTCAATCGATGCACGTATCTTTCCGTAACATTTGAAAAATTCATCGATTAGAAATACCTATCTCCTGGTATTTTGTAATCTGCACTGGAAATATCGACAATCGCATCTTTCTATAGAAAAAGTTTTCACAATTGATCAAGTATAGTACGAAAATATTGACAAAGATAAAATATTAACAAAATGCAGCACTTAATACAATTCTTTATAAAATAATATATCAGTTGTTATTTTGTAGAGAATAAATAATCAACCACACATCACTTGACGGACGAAATCTTCATAATTAATATTACCCTGCGAGTCTTCGTGACCCGCCAATAATGTTTCAACTTCTTCGTCGCTAAGCTTTTCACCTATACAAAAAGAAAAAAGTATAAATAATGTTAACACTGCAGAGTGAACGTATTTACTTAGTCGTGACATCTTTTTGGTTTCAATGAAATTTGTTGAAAAACATTGCTTTTCTTAGATACCTAGCGTCGTTAATAAATGTCTCAATTCAGCAGAAGATATAAAGCCATTTCCATCTTTGTCGAAATGACGTAAACCCTCTATAAAGTCATCTGCTGTATCGGATGTTCTAGATTTACTTATAGCTTGATAAATAGGTAGAAAGACTTCGAAACTGATCCGTTCGTCGGGTTTATGTTGATGAGTAAACTTCTTTACGTCCGATTCAGTCGGATTCTGTCCAAGAGCTCGTAACGCATCCCCAATTTGAGCCACGTGAATTTTTCCATCTCCTCGACTATCGAAAAGCTGGAAAGCCTCTTGGAATTCTATAACAGTACAAGCAAATTTCATTCGCTATTTATTAATAATTTGGCAAAAGTGTTTTGCCAAATCGAGAAGCACTGATTTCTAATTTTTATCAATTAGATGTATAGCAATATTATTTACCCTCGATGGATGACATCATTCTATTAGTCAGTTCTTGATAACTACACCCATACATCTTGTACTTGACACGTTTATAAAAACTCGACGGGAATAGCGAATTGTTGCAAACAATATAAAAATATATAGAAGAATCACCTTCAAACGATTATAAACGCACGAATAAAATGATGATGATGAAAATATTGAGAAATAAACATCAATCAAATGAATTTACGAACGCAATATGTCACGGTTGCGCTTCACTTATTTAGAATTCGTCCAAATATAAATAACTGAAAACCGTAGAACCGTAGAACCGTAAAATATTAATTGTAGCGGGCTCAAAACAACACAATTATATAAAATGATAACGAATTATTTGTAAATCCAACGTGAAAACGCATGAACGAACTAACATAACGATAACGATGCTATTCGCTTTCTGTGTTCCTTTCTTCTTTTCTGCTACTATTTCTTCAAGTACCTAACCATAAAAGGTAATGATCGACACGCAAGTTGGTGACACCAGGGTGTGGGTCTAATAAGGTAACGATATTCTTGACCCAAATTAAACATTGAGAAAAAACTGTCCGCCCCTCCTTGATCATTGTTCTTAAGAACCGATTTGCGTTCGCTTACCTGCAAGTTGATCCTCCGAGTATGATGCCTGTAAACGTAATTCCATCAAGTTGTACAATCGTCTAGCATCGTGTTTATACAAGAATAGGGTGCAAGCGAATACTTACCATCCTAATTGGTGTCGTGTACGTACTAAAACACGCACGATGATCTATCTTTCTACCGTGAATACAATGTTTGCGCGTTGTATATGGATATAACTAGTGGTTAAGCGCTTCGATCGTTCTAGTAAGATTTCGAGCGGAACCTTCCTAAAGAAGTGACACACGCGTCGTCCGTCCTTTGAAAGACGGCACTCGGAAGGAATGCGGGTCCGAACGGTCGGAATCTAGTGTGTTTTCGGCTCTAGTGTGCGATTGGACGACACGCTCGCACGCACGCTGGTTCCGCGCGTCACGCAACGAACACAGCGGCAACGAACTCTGGCCCCTGTGCCGTCCCGAGTGCCGTCTTTCGAGCGATACTAGAGTATCAGAGTAAACAAGTATGTACTCGTGTACAAGTATTCTTTTATTTCCCGGTAGACGCGAGCGGAAACGATTCTTATTTCTTTTTGTCGCACACTTGTCGTTAAACTCCTTCGCCGTTCGTGTATACCTGAATCCTCTTTTCCCGAAAATTAGTAATATCATCGAGAAAAGTCATTGAAAAGGAGACAATGAAAATTTCGAATTTTCGAGCGAACGATCGGCTCAATTTCTGTATCTACTTGAACTGATCGGATCTTGCCGCAAAATCGAGCAAGTACATACCGCCATCTATCAGTTTATCATGCATGTACGATGGTTTTTAAATCACTGCAACCAACGAATCGAAAACTTTATATATATACATGTACATATATGGTAATATCTCAGTTTTTACAGTATCCGCTACTATAAATTTCATCGAATCGTGTTTCTGTGACAAGTCAATGTTCTTATAGACTTAAAAACGCAAAGTGAAATTACACGCACGCGCACACTCGACACTCGCACACTCGCACCGATGCATTTATACGTAGTAGGTATTTACTTGCAAACAGTTGTCGTAGGAATCCATAAAATGATATTTACACCGTATCACGTGTCGCGCGAATATCGTAAATTCGTATCGTGAGAAATTGAATTTTAATTCGTTCTATCAATTTCGATAGGTATTGTCCAATCTAGAGTATACAAATTGAATAATTGTGCCATTTCAACGATTTTTTGTGCGTATATTTGCATTACATTATTTCTCCACTCTCAAAGACTCAAGTATGTACGTGGTGTACGCATTGAAATATTTAAACTTGCGTATCGAACGGACATTGATCCGTACATTTCACAACGATTCAAAGTGCGAAACAAGTGGAAACATCAAAAGACAATAGAAGAGATGCGTATCATGGTACAGGTCTCGTGTCAGATTCGTACTGTGCTTGAACCCAAACCTGCAAACTACAATAACCTCGTAACTCGATCGCTCAATCCTGAGGGCGGTTTCCGTGAAGAAACGCGTATATCATATTTCTCAGCTCGACGTTTGGTATAAACGAAGTATCCTGAAGGGATTTATTAGTCATAGGACTTGTATATTTTCCACATAAAAACCACTCGTTTATGGCTGCTCTCTCATACGTAAATCCATCTGAGAAGTGAAAATTTCTTGTTCGCATATAATTATGCCGATAAGAAATATACCGGAACACATGACAGTTATCCGTCACAATGACGACGCTCACAGTACGCGTGATTTCGCACGAGACTCGACTCTTTAGATTTTCGTAACCGCACAACTGTACAATTTCGGGGTTTTAGCGATCGGGTCGCATCGCGTATTCAAAGTTCGTCGGAATCGCATATCGTGAAAGTCACCACCGTACTTGTATTCTATAAATGTATGCTCATATCTCATACCGGAACATCGAACTGGTTCCTTCATTATTTCATGCGTGATGGGACACAGGAATTCATGAGGTACTTCAGCATCGTCTATGGAGGCTTCTACGATATTGCTATCTTCGCGTTTCAACCAATACAATTGAGTTTTAAATAGCTCAGCCATCTGAAAAGAAATATTTTACAAGTAGAAACAAGTGATAATATCGTTGGTGATCGTTTCTGCCATACTTGTTCGTCTTGTTCAATCTGTAGGATTCTTATCAACTGATTTTCCGATGCGGCGAGTAATTTACGACCGTTCAGAGAAGATACACGAGCTCTCCTCGTCAAGGTGGACAATCCTATTTCGTGCAGCCACTTTAAAGTATCGTCGACCCTCCAATCTGCAACCTGACACATTACGAATCTTCCACTGTTCGCAACTCGTTACGCGGATTCTGCCATCGCGAGTGTCGTTCTATCATAAATGCGAAACGTTTCATGCTTCTTTACCTGTTTCCTGTTCTGTTTCAAGTTATCGATCAAGATGCTTTGCGAGATCAACTGCTGGGGTATCTTCCAGATTAGAATAGTTTTGTCCAATGCACCTGTTCCGTTGAAATCTCTAGTTAGCGTGTCATCGAAACGAAAAAACGATGCGAATAGCTACCGGACGCGTAGCGTATCGGTACACGTATGCAAGTACAAAATTTAGCTTAACCTGTGATAAAGAGAGACGTATTCTCGGAAAAAGCGCAAGTAGTTGCAAGGCTTTCGTGTTCTTCTAGCACGTACAGGCAATCCCCGGAGTACTAGAATCACATTACGCGACTATGTGGTATCAAGCGACACCTTGTGCGTGTTCATTGCGACACGAACAGTGCCCGAACACGAATGTTTACTCACTACGCTCCAAATACGAGCCGTTCTGTCCGTGGCTACGCTTCCTAGCATCTCGCCTGGAATCGGGGAGAATCGAACACACGTTACGTTACCGCCGTGGCCAGCCAAAACTTTTTTCTCTTTGTATTGGCCATCGGGATCGGCGTTCCCGGTACTGCCACTTTCCAGTACGGGGAGCGCCTCGAGCTCCTTGGTAATGGAAATTTGCCATAGTTTCACCAGTGAGTCGTTGCCGCTCGTTGCTAATAAATATGCTTGCCTATCATCGTTAACTAGCCTCCTGCCTGCTTTCCGAAGTATACGTTACTTACGAACCGACTATCACGCGAAATCGTCGCACGCGGAATTATCATTTTCTTACCGGCGAAGCTGATATTGCACGTTGGACTAAAGTCACAACCTTGAACACCTAAATCATGCGCTTCTTCGCAGATTATCAAGGCAGCGTTGCCGCCTTTGTCTTCAACGGTATCGAACAACCTCCAAGTTCCCTCGTTGCAAGCCGTGACCAAATAACGAGAATCATGCGTGAAGGCGATTGCGTTTACCGCGTCGGAATGCCCTCTGAAAATACTGTGTCATCGCAGATTCGATAAAAAGCTGGTAAATTCGTTTCTTTCGTTTAAATCTAACGCGAGACCCCGCTCTGCTCCCTGCTATCCCTCGCAAGAAAGAAGACCTATTCTATCGTTATCGTGTTGCTATTCCCAAAGTATTTACTTTCTCGACTGTCTGCTAAATTCTTTTCGTACGTGTACGCGTGTATTCACACATGTATGGAAAAATATGATTAAGCTACCGAAGTTCCCCCATATTATTCACATCCCATAATGTTGCTCTTTCGTCGTCTCCAGCTGTGGCAAATTTCGAGCCATCCGGTGACCATCGACAAACACGAATGCTGCATCCCGAATTTACGAAAGAGGATTTCGCTTGACATCCATTCTAAAAATATACACCTATGGTTTCATGTACGATATGCACTTGTACGTGTCTGCGTTACCTCGGTATTCCAGATGATAGCTGTGCCGTCTAAAGAGCAAGATGCGAGCATACTACCGCACGGACTGAATTCAACGTGATTTATGCTATATTTGTGTCCGTCCAGTGGACTGTAGGATTTTTCTTGGAAATTTACAGCAGCGTCGGCAGAATTTTCTTCTTCCTCGATTTCAATGCTCCACACGCGTACCAATTTATCCCTAAATGATCATGATTGCAACGCTAGCTCTACACTGCACTTACCTCTGGCGAATATATTGCATGACAATATACAATATACGTATAATGTCGTGGCAAACGTCCAGTCGATTATCGAGCAACATTTCAAACAAATGAATTCCGACTAACCCAGATCCAGAAGCAATCAGTTGATTTCCATAACAAGCTACGCTATTTATTACACCGTTCTGATCTTCTAACCTCCGAATTAATTGTACCTCGTTAATCGATGTCTCCGCGTTCTTCATCACGTCTCGTTCGTGTATCGCGCTCTGGGAAACAAACATCGCGTGTCGTTACCGGTTACTACACGCACAATCAGTTTCTGATATCCACCTTCTCGTGATCCGTTAACGCGAACGTCGTGGATGCGAAACCACGCGAAAGTTCCGAATCGAGGCACAAATTTCCCGTCAGGTCCCAAATTATTACAGATTTATCGTTCGACCCTGAAGCATTTACGATTTTATGGAAAATGGACTCGTACTCTGTTTCTCTATGCATATCGGAGTAATTACCAGTCGCTAATAAATTTCCATCTCTCGAAAACGCGCAACACGCTACGTATCTGTTGTGTCCTGACAGTATCGCCATTGCTTTTCCCGTGCTCTGAAAATTCTTCGAAATATTATTCCGCTTCGAAGAAGAATATTCTAGTTTGTTGTCGCGAAACCCTACCGCTTCCCAGATCACCGCTGTTTTATCCAGGCTACTGCTAACCACGTACAATCCATTCGCGTTGAAACGAACGCAAGTCAAGGCACTGCTATGCTTCTCCATGATTCTGCAGACAGTTATGTTGGCAGTGAACGCGCGAGCTCGACCCTTTGTTTGTATCACCATTACCTCCCACAATTTCACGTAATGATCGTTACCACAAGTGACCAGTTGATACAGCTTGGTGAACGGTTTATTGCCTGTGTACAAGGACGTGACGCACTTAATACTCTGATCTCCGACTATCGTATCGGAGGAGATTCAAGCGAATCGACCTGCGTATCGTTTATACGTACTCGTGACTTCTTGAATCGAAGAGAAATCGCAGGAAACGACACCTAAATCGTGAGCATCGTCTATCCAAGCGAACGGGGTAATCGCTTGTTTATCGGATACGCACGACGAATCGATAATATCGGCAGTGGAGAATAATTTCAGGACCCCGAAGGTGCAACTCGTGATCAACCAACTCGAGTCCGGCGAAAAGCATACACTCTGTACAGCACCGTCGTGTTTTTGGAAACATCTGTACGGAACACGATCAGAGTGAACACACGTATCGTTATGTTTCGTTATGTATCCACGAATAAACGTGAGCGCGCGTGCGCTTGCACACGCATATGCGCACACAACCATTCGAATAGTCCTCTTTGAAAGAACACGAAACTTTCTTACTTGATCAAGTTACGTCGAATTAAATCCCAAAGGCAAACTTGTCCATTATCCCCGGCAGTTACGAGTAGCGTCGAGTCCGATGAAAATCTACAAACTCTTACAGCTTCGCCACCCACTTGAACCATGGTATGAATTTTCACTCCTGTCTGTGAGGAGACGAGCATTCGAGACGAGTATTGAAATTTACGAGTGGCACGATCGCACATGTCTAGTGAATTACACGTACCCTTAGGTTCCACAACAATGTTGTTCCGTCTATACTAGCCGAGGCTAGCATCGTCGACCGAGGACTTACTTTTACCGATGTAATTCCGTATTTATGTCCGAGTAAAGGTGAATAATGGGCCTCGACGTATCCGCTGCATGCTCTCCATTGCCACACTCGAATGCGTTTATCTCTAGGGGTAACGAATATATACATATATATACATATAGTAAAGCACAATTCAACGAGACGCGTTCATTTCTCGAATTTTCAACCTCTTACCCTGATCCCGTCACTAGGACGCAATCGCTAGCGAAATCAACGCTGGTCACATCGCTCGTGTGACTCGTTAACGTTTGTAGAGTTTGTACATCACCTATCTCGACGGCCGCAGTGTTCATATTACTGGTATGGGAAATCAGAGAAAAGAACGAAATAATTCCTTTCCCTTTTCGTCGTCCTTTTCGTCCTCCTTTTCCTCCTCCCTTCCGCCCGTTACTTCCGTTCCGCACACTTGCTTCTTCGCGATTATTCTCCCGATTCTCTTTTGCGGCCGCTAAGAACGAGTTTCGGTTATTTGCAAGTGAGTCGCGATCAGTTGTCGCGGCAAGTAATACAGATATGTGTCGAAACACCTAATTAATCGCAACGAACGAACGCACCACGCGTCTTGTCGTTCAACGTATCCGACTCAGGGAAAAGATACGTTGTACGATCAAACACGGAAGTTTCGAGACCTTGACATTGTCAAGACGACATTCGCGTTTCGTAAACGTGGCTCTATTGTACAGGAGGATATGTCACGTACGACTAGATTCGACGCAAGCTTTCCAATTCGTGCATGTGTCAATAACGTGGTGTGCTTTGGCGTTGTCTTCTCATCGATTTGCCATTCGAATGAATTTTAAATATTCATTTCACCGAAACGCGCCAGTCAATTAACGTTGGAAATCTGTTATCAAAGGGGGAAGAAATACTATCTCGTAACGACAACAAACTACGATATTATATATATATAAATGTATGTATGCAAAGGATACACGTGTACACACGTATACGTGTGTAGAAATTTTGATGAAGGCTACAGCCGAAATACATACACAGAATCGATTTGAGTCGACAAGGATCTCGAAATGATTCACTTGTTTAT